AGCCGCAAAACAGAAACAAAAGGATTTAAAGGAGGATTCCGCCGGAACTCAAAACAAACGAGTCGCGGGGCCGAAAAGAATCAACACATAATTGGCAGGGTTCATTCGACCGCGAAGAGAACCTTTCGGACCGAAGATGGCATAATCGACCCCCCATGAAAGGAAAGAAGGGAAATGCCGATCTAACAAAATCACCTCAACAAAAGGTTCATATCACATCAACAACAACATGAGATGCCAGAGAAGTACTGTCGGCAAAGAAGAAAACAGAGACAACTACGAAATCGACTTTTCCGAAAATCATCTTCACGGACACTATTTCATCTGGAAAATCAACTGCCAAACCCACACACAACGAAATCACAAAGACGACACAAACCGCACAAACCGAACCACAAAGTACAACAACAGCTATACAAACCACGTCAGATAGAAGCGAGGACACCGCAGAAATCTGTGTTAGCCGCGTGGACCAGAATATCTGCATACAAGAAGAAAAGACACACAATGTAGAACCACCAACAATGGGAACATCTACACAGCTAGAAACCAGCCATGAGATGATAACAGAAGGACTGGTCGCGACGTTGGAGAAAGCCACAAACACAGTGGAATCAGAGGAAGACAAACCATTGTTCAGACAAAGGTTACAGCGGGTTCTGGGCGTACGATTTATCGCTGCAGCCACCAAAAAGGACCGAAATCTGTGTCCACCGATCAACTTTGTCAAGAAGAGGGATTGGGAAGCCATCATAGATTCCTACGGACATTACTGGCACAACATACGAAACAGGCTACCTGTTAGAGAGGATTGTCTACTCATAGAGGAAAGAATCGTCATACCTACACAACTCAGACAGACTGTGCTAGACAGCCTACATTTGACACATCCGGGATAGGCAGCCATGTTGGATTTGTGTCAACATGTCTGGTTCCCACATTTTCATCGGTCAATTGTGCAAATGGCACAAAATGCAAACACTGCACAGAGCAAGGTAAAAATTTAAAACCCATCATAGGAAAGAAACATTCATTCCGAATAGAACCAGTGATTGAAACTAATGAGGAAGTCCCATTAGATTTCAAAGGGCCCCTTCCGGATGAATTAAATAGAGACGCGTACATTTTATTTGCAATAGATAAATGGTCAAAATTTCCCACTGCAAAAATTGTAACCAATACAACATCGGACATTGCTAAAAAAATTTATGCTACGGTACATTTCAAATAACGGGGTACGCCGAAAATTAAGATGTGACCAAGCACAAACATTTAGAGCTAAAAAATTTCAACTGTTTTGCAGTACCAACAATATAAAACTATTCTTTGCCCCGGTAGATGATCATAGAGCCGTAGGGGTAGTAGAGAGAATGATGCAAACTTTGAAACCTAGGTTAGCGGTAATGAAAATTGATCAAACAAACACACCGTACAAGCTCGCGTCAGATGTAGCTGAAATTATTAAAACATTTAGAATCACACCACATAGCGTAACAAAAATTTCACCATTCGAGGCCCACTTGGGCCGTAAACCAAACACACCCTTGTCAAACGTAGCAACTAGTAGCTCAACTAACAACCTGAACTGGGAAAGCGCAATCCATGCATGTTTAGACCGAAAGAACCTTCAAAGCCGCCACTACCCGCCGAAGTAATGCACAACTTACAACGGTGGTCAGAAGATGAAGCATCTATCAAGAAGAAAGAACCGAAACCACAAATGCCAAGGAATCTCACAAACACAAACTCCCCGACACAACAAAACACAGGTGCAAAATCAAACGTTATAGAAAAAGACAAAGATAAGTTAAACGTAAGATATAAAGAGGTACAAACAACATTAGACAAAAACACGAAAAAATGGGCAGATCAGGTAGCACGGACAACGATTAGAATAGCAACGAAGGTTAAAGATCCGAAAACATTCGAACAAAAATACAAAATCAAAAACGGAAAAATTTTTATATATACTCCACACACCGCATGGATGCAAACATTCGGAAAGCAACCGAGACTATTAAGAAATAGCGGTGGCACATTTGTCCCAAACCCTTTAATTTTCGAACCCGTCTCGGCTCAATGATTACGTTGCATATAAATCCTCACGGAGATCAGGACCATGCCTACGTTTTTTAGACATAGAGAACCCTACTGCTCCCCAGCACCCAATGTTCAAACAGGATGAAACAACGAGCCTACCAAGGAAGCTGAATCAAAAAGAGAAGGTGACAGTACAAGCAAACCAAAATAGCCCAACGAAACGGAAAGCCAAAGCAACGGGCAAACGAACCGGCGGTCACCCGACACACAAGCTACAAACCAGCGGAATGAAGCTGCAAACTGATATCCCCGCCGGAACCTCGAAAACTGACCCCAACATTCAACAGAAACGAGCATCCAGCAACTCAGACAATGACGACCAATCATCAATCTCCTCAGAGGATATCGCACTATTGCCTAAGAGGCAAAATCAAAAACAAACACCACCCACGATTCCAACGGTACCACAGCGAAAGTCAACTAGGAACCGCCAATCGGCGCTGTCCACCGAGTTTGGTAAACCCGTACCATTTAATGTCATCAATGATAAAAACAATGAAGAAAAGAAAACTCTACAGTTGGAAATCGATTCGCCACCGGACAAACAGAACACAGACAACTATCCGAGCTTAAAGCTTAAAATCGCTCATACAAGAAATGGGTTTCACCGAGAAAACTCCACAATACTAAGCCTGCGTAAAATTCATTGAAACGATTAGCCCGAAAAGCAAAACAAGTCACACAGGCGTGGTAGATTTAACATCGCCAACAGAGGACGATGACACAGTTGACAATAAAAACGACATCTTATTCGTGAAAGATAAGGATTTGTAACAAGAAGGCGAGACGAAAAAGGCAAACAACAATTTACAGGAAGACGAGGAACATGAAAGCAATAGGGAGGAAATTATCAAAGATGGAAAGCAATCAGAAATGTGAAAGATCCGGAAAAGTTCTATGGGGACTATAAAACTCAAATCTGAAAGTCCCACGGGGACTCTAAAAGCTCAATTTAAAAACAGTCGTTTATAAGTTTTGATATGATATTTATATTATCTATAGTTTATGTTAAACGCATAGTTGGCCGGTCACTTGACCTTGATAGACAGAGAAGACGAGCTATGTTTGAACTATGGTTCAGAGTTGAATTAACGTTGTCTATCAACTAGTTGTTTTAAACCGCTCCGACTGAGACTCGCTGTTCATCGATCCATTCGGATTCATGAATTAGAGAATCATACCCAATCTCAAGGACAGTTTTGGTCAATATTTACAAACATTTCATCAAATCTTAAGTCAATTAAATCGACCGTGAATAAATAATATCCGCTACCATTTTCTCATTTAATACTACTTCTTTTGAAACACTACCATTTTGATACGGGATTGAGAAGGCCAGTTTCCTTAATCTCCTTAGTTTCCTTAATTGTTTTAAAAACATTTTGCGGTATGACCAAAGTTTTGGGCTTTTGTTACATTTTGAAAAATACAAATTTAATACAGTTTCGGAAATTTCTGAGTGCTACCGAAAAACGCTGCCGAAATATTAGGATCAAAGTTTAAGCAAACTTAACCATGTGGTCAACTTGTTTTGCTTGGTCTTTGTTAACTATACTGAGCAACGTTGAAAACCCAATAGCAACATCCATTCGCTTGCTTTGATATATGATCACATATTTGATGATTTGCCCAGAAGATGATTTTTAAAATAAAACAATTTGGAAGAAACGCAAGAACTGGCCAATGTTTTACCTGATTCATTTCATATAAAAATTTTATCTTTTGAAGATCAATAAACTAAATAAAATTGAAGGATGTGCCAAAAATGTGTCTTTTTTCTTTGGACTCAAACTGGGTTATGCTGGTTAATTTCAGTCACTACTTGCTTTCAAGTTTACCACAAAATTCAAAAGTTAAGAAAAGAATAATGTATATTCATTGTTGAATTTGATCAAATTTGCTTCAAAAGCGTTTTTTTGTATAGTTTTAAGGTTTTTTAGCGTTTTCTTAAGGAAAAATTCAGCAAAACCTTTTGATGATGCAATGTCAAAGTTGCCCAGTGTAGTTCCGTGCTTTTTTTTCCAATATGTTCAGAAATGTTTCAAAATTCCCTTTTAATTTCAAACATTTGACCGTGTTTTAATTTTCAATTGCTTGAAAAATACTTGAGTAGTCGGGCCTTTTGAATGGGATCCATTGTACATGGCGGTACCTTATTTGTTAACTATTTACAAATATTCTTTGTTAATGAATAATTTCAAAATAAAGTTAAAGCCATCGCCTTTTAGTTCTTTTGGTAGGTTGAGGTGGAGGAAAGTTTTTGTAAGCCAACCAAAATCGATGAAAAAGTCAAGAACGGTACATACCCGGCTCGACCAGGGTCAATCACGATACATGAGCTAGTCGACCAGCTAAAAACAAGTTCGATATTTTCCAAAAAGTTCTTTTCCCACACAAAATGGCAGCCAATGAAAATCACAAAATTTGAGATGCTGAACAAATTTTTTTTCAAAGACCGCCTTTCAAAAGTAAATGAAAAATCTTCTTGGTATTTTGTTTTAAGAAATATTTTTCTAGCTAATTTGATTGTAAAAATATGTATATTTTTGAAAAATACCATAGAAGTCATTGGCTATGAAGTTTATAAATATAATCAACTTAGAAGAAAGGTTTACTGGATTCAGGAACATCTACCAAATTAACCAGAGTCAAAGTCAAAGTCTGACGTGGGTCGATCAAAGTCAAACAAGGCTCACCAAACTCAACGAAGGGTCGACCAGACAACAGACAATATTTGACTCGTAAAATCGACAGTCGACATTTTTCGACCCACAAAGTCGAGTATGGACAACAGTTGACCCATGCGGGCGATCCATGATTCGATCATCTCAACAATAAGAAACAATTAGTTTCATCTCAACAAACGATACGTTTTTATTGTCAGTTAATTGAAAACCATTATGGGTCAAAATCAGACAAGGGATGCATTGGCATCCAGTCTGCTAGAGGCAGCTCAAGAAGTTAGACCACTAACCAAACAACAGTCGAAGAAGGATGAAGATGAAGAATGGCAACCGAAAGATGAAACCAAAAAGAGACAACACAGTCAGCATAGGCGAAGTGAACAGAATGCAAATGGGACGAAGCAATTTAAACAGTCGTATAAATGATACACTAATTGAAAAATTGAAAAAAAAAAAATAGGAAGCCTAAATTCTTCTGTCTGAGTTTCAAGTTTTTTTAGGACCATAGATTCGCCATAAGGTAATATGACTCAACTGAGGTTGGCGCATTTGCTCAGCCAGCTTTGAAAAATTTGGAAAAAATATGCTTTGCCTTTTACAAAATTTAAAACGTACAACAAAGTATCTTTATTATGTGTTATTTTTCTACAAAAGTCGACAAAACTTATGTAATTGGGGCATCGGTGATGATGATCCGCGCCTAGAGCGCTAAGTACTGAATTTAATTTAAAAAAACTAAATAACTTAAAGAGGATTAGTGTTTTGATGCATTTATGAATGGACCTTGGTTGTCAATTGAAGCTCCTGTCGAGAAGTCTTCAGAGAGTGAATTCGCTGGAACAACCCCGAGAAAAATAGAGAAGGTGATATCTGCAGTCAATGGATTCGACCCTTTCGAGTTGACCAGAGATGTGTTCGAAAACAACCTGGACCGATTGGAAAATGTGTGGAAAGAAGACAGGTTGGTCTGTTATAAGTTCCGGATGTCCACCTTGCAATGCGGTAGCTCTGCAATTTCTGCTGACTTGACCCCCCTCCCCCCCTACACACTCACACACGCACACACACACACACACACACACACACACACACACACACACACACAGAGCTGTTCATGAAATCTTCTTAATGAACAATTTTTAGACATACGTACAGTGTTAATTTGCAAAAGCATTTTGACTTGAATCTGATTTGAACTGTTTTTGAGGGAGCGTGTGAACAAGTTCGTGGGCATGCGTGACATCTACGGTCTCACCCCTGTGCACTTGGCCTTCAGACTGAATAGAGAGGAGTACCTGCAGATGTTCCTCCACTCTGCCAGTCCAGACTTCTTCCAGCGCAACGAGACCATTCTGGACGAGGCTGTCAACATGGGAGACAGGTCAGGGTGGTCCTGAAAATGACCTAAATTACCATTATTCTTTATGAATTGTTTCAGCCAAGCAAACGCTGAATCAATCTGTAAATAATTCCGAATCAATTAAAACAAGTTACTAAGTGTAAAATTCTCATATGCGTAAACGTTTATTTATGTCTTTGTAGGGGGATATTCGTTAGTACGTGTAAAATTCTCATATGCGTAAACGTTTATTTATGTCTTTATAGGGGAGATATTCGTTATTAGGTACCAGAGGGGGATATAGTTAAGAGATCTGGATTTTTTTTTCGGGGAGGAAAAATCCCTGGGTTTGATCAAATTGATTAACCGAGTTCCTCATTACACTATAAAGACTCTTTCCTGCTAAAGTTTTGCGCTTCCCTTCAAAATTACCATATATTGGCTGGCGCCTTTAAATGGATTTAGAGTCATTCGGCCAAAACAGTCTGTAGTACCAAAAGAGGGACTTTTTGGATGGTGAGGGGGTCGATCCGCTGAAGAAAGGCCCCTTTTCGCTAAATCCACTAATAATTAAAGAGAAAAGTTTGAGAAAAATTGTTTCCACGAAAACATTCGACCCTGAATGTTATTTCTCGTTATTTTGTTTTTTAAACTATTTTTTTATCTTTCATTTTTTTTTAGTTTCCATCGTTCAGCAGCTCATAGTTTTAATGTTGAATCCGTCTCGAACTGTCAATGTTTCCAGTTTCAGGAATCTTATCAAAGAAGTCCTAATCCACCAGTTGAAGTTTGGGTCCAAACTGGTCAACATCGGGTTCGCTCTTCTGGAGAAGCTGGTCCAGCAGTCCAATGACTTCTTCTGCGAGTACAAGTGGAATGTGAAGACGTGGATACCCCTGGTGTCCAAGTACCTCCCCCGAGACACCATCACTATTTACAAAAAGGAGTCATGTGTCCGAATTGATACAAGGAATCTTCTCATTTTCCGCAAATTGGAAGATTTTCTCAAAAATTCCCCGAAAATAAGATAAATCGAATCAACAATTACTTATTTCTGTCTCAATCGAACCAACAAGTAAACAAAAATTTTTCTCTAAAATAGTTCAATCGAATAAAAAATTACACATTTTTATGCGTTTAATTATGCGTGGTTTGTCTGAACAAGTTTTTTTTTCCAATCAAAGCTGTAATTCTTTTAGAGATTCGCAGATTATCAAAATATATTACTTAAAATTGTTGGTGAATTTTTTTGAGAATGAAAAGCTCGAAAAAAATAATATGTAAGTATTTTGGATCAAATTTTTGGTCGATATTATATTTGTACGAGAATTTATAAGCAGTACTGCGGCGTGGAAAACTAGAAGCGTCAATTAAAGATACACCATCATCGGCGAAAGGATTCCGAAGCGTAACGGCCTCACGTCTATAATATACAATCCTGCAATATACCAGGACAACGTCATAGTCCTCGACCGGATCCGAAATGTGTTCGTTTTAACAACTTTCTACAATTACAAAAGCCCATGTGAGCATAGATTAAATCAGAAAATTGACAGGCTGATGAATGATAAATTGTCTTTGAAGATCGAGTGGGAAAATATCCAGTTCACAGCCGAAACTAAACGAGGAAATTTCAAAATGCAGCAGGTTAGTTCATAATCTACCAATGTTTATATTGGAATGTGTGAATACCTTTTATATTCATTCAAAGGTATTCACACATTTCGCCCCTCACACGTTTCGCCCCTCTTAAATATAGTTGCACTTTTCGCCCCTCACACATTTCGCCCCTCATAAATTACTGACATATTTCGCCCCTAAAATGTACATTAAGAAAGTGGCGTTAATTTTCTGTGTAAAAAGTTAGGGGCGAAACACTCGAGGACAAAATGTGTGAAATTACTAGGGGCGAAATGTGTGAGGGGCGAAATTTTCTACTAGATTTAAGAGGGGGCGAAATGTGTATGGGGCGAAACGTGGGACATTCTCATTCAAGTTACAGTTAGTTAGTTTTCTTTTGTTTTTGGAAAGTTAAGTGCAAGGAGTGGATCCAAGATTTTTTAAGGGGGAAGGGCCAAAATTTGAACATTTTTTTCATACTTAGATTGACCAAACTGAATTTCCTAAAACGCTATGAAGACCTTGTTTAGTCAACATTTTCTGTGGAGCAGGCCATTTTTTGAAAAATCGGTCAAAAAAACGTTTTTGAATTCTTTTTGAAAAATTTTGTCCTAAAAATATCGGTTTTTCGGCCAGCACTAACAGCAGAAAGTAAGCATATATTGGCGCAAAGGCGCACAAACAAAAAGTTTAGTGTCAATTGGATACTGTTGGATATAGTGAAGTTTTAATAAAAGTTGATGAGGGGGTTGAATCCCTGAAGGGGGCGGCCGCCTCTGGTTGAATCAAGCTGATTACCACCAATCTATATTACCTTATAGTCTTATATATAATACTAGTCCTTAGCCCAAATACCGCCAGCGGTTATAGTCACATTTACAATCACATGTATAATACCAAGTTACATACCTAATAACAAAACCCGCTTATCCCAAATAATGATTTTGCTTGATCGGTCTTTACACTTGCGAAAAAAAATGTATCAATACGAACTTTCTTTTTTTACAACCTAAGTCGCAAACAAAAGTGCTACTTTTGATGGCACTTTTAAATCGGTAGGCTGTGGCAGCAGTATAATGTCATACGTGCTTTGACATTTGATTAGCAAACATTTTCACAGCTGATGAATTTTTAATTCATCAAATTAACCAAAAAAATTTATTTGTTTCAAACAGTACTACATTGATAAAAAGCTCCTTTTCAGAAATTTTTCAAATCAATGTATCTCGCAATTTTTTGAAATGCATAATTATTACATAATTTGGCTTTATGATTTCAAATTTATTACATGCAAAATTGTGCTGTTTCGTATTTGGTGCTGCTTTTGATAAATCGAATTGGCAAGTTATTGACACACGTAGTTGCTTTATTTGCGGCTAGTTTTTGGGGAGTTTAAGCACCCATGGCTGAGTAGTTAGTGCGTGAAACTAAAATTTATTAGATCACAGGTTCGAATCCTACATTCGATTCCATATTTGCTAGATCGCAGATTCGAATCCGTCAGTTTTTTCTAATTCGAGGCTCATTTCTAATTTTTCTTACTTCACTTGATAGAGCTGATTTTTGTTCGTGTTTTCGCAAGTGTCCGTGAAGCGTAGCTTCGCCTCCGCGTAAAATGATATTTTCCCAAAGTATGATCCAAAAAACTGCTTGCTGGGAAATTTATTCAAAATACTAAATGAGAACATTCGCAATTCAAGTTAGTCAGTGATTTAAGATTTGTTATTGGATTTCACTGACGACTGATTCCTTGCTTTTAAATTTTGCATTTGCTAGATAATAATTCTTGCTAAAGTTCTGAATTGTTCACGCGAGATCTGGTTCAGGGTGATACACAAAATTGCCGAATCCGCTTGTATAAGCGGAATCAGTTTTTTTTTGCGGAATCCGTTAAAAATTTTACGAAAACCAAAAACTTTTGCGAGCTCCGCTTTCGTTTTGCGGAATCCGCTTGAGTTTGTGAAACCCGGAAAAACTAATTTTTTCCGCTCCTTGTGGAATGCGCGGCAAAAGTAATTTACCGATACATTTACGTTTTTGT